CGGACGGCCGGCCCCGCCGCCTTCAGTGGGAAACCGCACAACTCCACGAGTAACCGGACCTCTGACAAACGCAACGAACCGCCTGGATCCTCCTGATCCGGACGCCCAAACCCCAAAACGACTAAAGCCTAACCCGAAGAAGCGAACGAAGGCACAAACCCCTAAAAGTCCACCGTACCCGCGCCGGGGCCTCTCCAGGGAGCGCATTGCCTGCTTGGGGTTAGTGGCCGGGGTGTGGGCGCTTTTACTTCGAATTCCAAACATTCTTCCGGGATAGTTGGGCTGGAATTATCAGACAAGCGGTGCAAGTGCACATCTACAACGACGTTGGCCACCCAGCAATCGAGGGAACGGATGCCACCTTCAGTTAAGGAAGCACGAGGTTGGACTCGACGCCAAACAAACTGCAGAAAGTCTACATGTCTACGTTCACGCTGCCTAGGTTTGAGTACTTCGCTAGAAGAGCATGATTCTAACAAGTCTGTGTAGGGCTATGAAAACTTCGTTCTTCAAGAGAAAGGTGCTTACACGGAGGCGCAGAACTTTTCTGCGGGGCGTGGTGATCTCGTGAGAACTGAGCCACAAGAACCTGAAAGTCATTTAGGAGTTCAGGGCTTGGGGTCCAAGGTGTAAAGCTTCGGGATAGGCAAGAAGTCTTCAAACGTGTACCAGGAAGGGGAACAAACGTCATGAAACTGAACTAAGCCGAGTCCGTTGCAATTTCAAGGGCTGCTGAGGGTTCTAGTTCAGTCTGCTTCCGAGACTCTGGGCCCGGGGAGACGGGGTGTGGATTCAACAGGGCGCCTGCCGCCCTCGGGAGAGAACCGCCCCCTTCAGCCTCCCGTGCTTGTTAGGGCTTCGGGTTTAGGGAAGAAGGCTTCGGATTGGGCTTCAATGTAGTGAAAGCAGGCTCTACGGCCTCCTCAAAGGTGTTACAAGGCGCATGGGCTCATGGACCTTCTCCCAGAAGTATGCAGGCTACAGGAGGTATGATGCTGTCAGTGATGCTACGAAGCTTCAGTTGTCTTTCGTTGGAATGCCGATTCTCGGGTTGTGTTGTGTGGAGGGCCAGGATTCAAGCGTTGCTAGGATCAAAGGGCCACCATCGCAGTTCCGCTGGCAGGGCTGAGTTTGAGGTCTGGTCTTGGAGTGATGGAAAATTCTAGGGAACATGCAAGCGAGACCGGAAGTACCGTCAGGTTCAGTAAACTGTCCAGAGAAAACAAACCAAGAATCCAGCTTGCTACCATCACATTGTTCGATTTCAGGTTGCCCTCACAGGGACCAAAAGGTTCCCGTCTAAGGATGTTGCAGAAGCTTGCTGAGCATGAACCCAACTCCTGTTGAAGTAGATACCTCAAAACCCAACGCCGTATGAAGAACAATCCAATAGCCCTCTGAGTAGCACACCCAGCCATGCTGTACCTCTCCGTCACCTCCGTGTGCGTTTTGGTTGGTTGAATCTTCCGGCTGTGAACCAAAGCAGCCCAGAACAGCGTTCTGCCGGAAGATCTCTTTCACAGGTGCTTGTTCTACTACCACAACAACAGTGTATTCGATGCTGGCGTCTCTGACCGGGTGCAACCCATAAGCAAGAACCAAGTCTGGCAGCCATGTCGTTTCTGATCTGACTTGGTCTAATGAGGAGGGTATCTCGTGCGTCACTGCCGCTTGCTCTTTTTCCACATACTTTGGTAAGATAACTCCTCCTCGAGCGCACGCTGGTCCGGGTATCTCTCCGCAGCTTCCGTGGTGAAGTCTCGCGGCATTTGTCCGAGCCGGCGTGAAGCAGCTTAGGCCCTCGGCGTTGGCATGCAATGAGGGCAGAAGCAAGCAGCAGCGACCAGGTCCGCGACACCGGTTACTGCCTCTCTTCGGAATCTTGTCCGCGCACAAGACATGAAGATGCTTCGCTCCGACATCCTGATGTAGCCACCGTGGTGCCACACCTTAGCCCCCGGGTACTTTGCACCCTTCCAGGTGCCGTCGGCACGGAAGTTAGATAGCCGAACAATCCTGGGGTGAACACGGTGACTTCCCAATAAGGGCACTCAAAGAACTGTGTAAACATGGTCTATACATGAGTTAAACATGTATTCGAAGATGGCTTAAACACATTCGGGATGTATGGCAGTCCGGGAGCCGGCACAAGTTTAAGCATGTTTAAAAGCCCATGTTGGCGACACACAGCTGGAACGAATAGTGAACCATCCACGGGCTGGACAAACATGCTTCAACATGTTTAACTTCAAACCGATTAAAATTTAACGTGTTTACAACAATCCTGCAAACATGACCAGCTCCCCCTACACCAAAGCAGAGCTTGGAGAAGAGTTCAGGTGGAGTGGATCAGCAAGTAGAGGAGTGTGGAGAGATGTTCAGTGGAAGAGTCTGGAGGAGTGGATGAGCAGGGGAGTCCGCTGGAGCTGTGAGGAGTAGGGCTTGTCTCATAAATCCCAGCTAAATGCAGCTCCGGGGCAGCAAGGAACTAGCTCCTTCTTCATGGCGTTCAGCATTTTTCCAGCGGCATGTTGAGGGCGATCCGCCGGTGGACCGGCACCAGACTAACGGTCCAAAGGTAGTTGTTTGGAAAGTCCCCACTTGCTCGAAATAGCAGCCGTCACGCCTGATCGAATCACCACGGAACCACAGTAGTATCCCCTTGGCCTCATCCGAGCCTTTGTTCACCGATCTCCGAAGAAGATGTCTCGTGGACTTTTTCGTGCAGGGTACACGTAGGGCTCGCCAAGATCAAACGCCTCAAATGTGCGAGTGGGTTCAAATGCATCGATGTGACCGCCTCCGAGTTCGGGAACAAGTACCATGAGCTCGCCGCCCAAATATAAGCTCCCTGGCCGACGCAGAAAACAGTTGGCGGCTTCTCCCGTAGTCAAGTCGTTTTTGTAAAGGTCTCAAAGATTCCCCGAGGTCGCCGTCTTCACCCTCTCTCACCTGGAGAGGCGAGGACTGCACAGTGTTGTCCGTGAAATATCTCCGGACTGCATTCATGTCGTAGCCCATGAAAGGCCTTCGCTTTGGACCGGCGGCAGAGGAGTCTTCAGAGGCACCCGATGAGAAGTCCCTTATCCAGTCGCGGATGACTCAAAGGCCTGACTGTCACGGAGGCGACTTCCAAATCCAACGTGCCCAAGGCCTGTCAGCTGCAAACATGGCTTTCTGGACGAGCGCGTCCCAAATCGACGTGATGGCCCCAAAGTTGCCTGTGCCATTCGAGTGGTGGTGGTATTGGTGGAGATTGGGAGGCATAATGAACCGCATCGCTGGCACTCAGAATGAATCACGAGACCTACCAAGTGGAGACCAGGAAGTATGTAAGGGCGACATTGGGGCTGGCAACCGTTGAAGAGGAGCTTGCGCCAAGCTTCTTCCGCGCGTTGGGAGCCTGCGGCAGGGTTGGGCGAGGCAAAGTGCTTGAAAGGTTCAAGACTGGGCTGTTTCAGCGCACAACTGTTTGAACACAATGGCTCCTGTTCACACACATGGTTCAGCGGCTTAAACCACCTAAGCCTTCAAACCACAATGCTTAAACAGTTGGGAATTAAACCGTTTAAAAGGCTTAAACCTTTCCAACGTCTCAACCGCCTGAGACAAAAAAAACACTTTGCAAGAAGACCCCTAGCCTCCTGCCAAACCTTTGGAAACCTCGTGGCAAACGACCAGGTTAAACATACACCGTTGTTTAAACTTTTAAACCGCCTTAGAGAGTTGCTCAAACCCTACATGAGAACTGCAATAAGAGCCCTGTGTTTAAAACCCCCAGGCTGCTGGCAGGGCCGCCCAAAAGCTGAATCGACTAAGAGGGCTCTACCCAAAAAAAACTTACAGGGGCCGGGTCTGACAGCGATGTCCAAACCTTGACGCATGCAATTCGGAGGAAGATACTTAAACGTTTACACATTTACATTCTGCCCGAAGTGATGATCTCGCCTTCACCAGAACCTCTGCTTCAGCCTCACCTGCTGCCCAACATCTTGCACCGCCGTCTGCCACTCCCAGCTTCTTGGCTATTGCGTAGGAAAAGCGAGCTTCACGACCAATAAGTTGGTTCAGACTTGGCTGCAGAGAGGCGCAAACTCTCGTGTGTTCCCTTCTCTTGCATCAGTTGCCCGAGGCTTCCAATGAAACCAAACCCTCCTCCTCGCAGAGGATCCGACAGCATCCTGCTCTTTCTCCTTGAGCTCCAAGTGCTGACCTCGCCGAAGATGAGGAAGTGAACCGTAGGAAAGAAAACGTCTCACACATCGAGGCTCGAGGTCCAAACAAGACGTGCCTCGGTGCGACACAGATACTTATGTCCCGGTGCGCAGGCCCGAAAACAACGCAGAGAAGAACCGGGTCACGGAGCGTCCTCAGGTGGGCCCCTGCCATGCAGAGGCCCGAAGGGCCCGAAAGGTGAGGCCTTCGTCGTCGGGCCGCTTTTGGGGCAGCTTAGGGCTGTCGCTGTTGTTGAGGTGAGGGCCACTGGTTTCTTTGAGCTCAAAGTCCTTCTTTTGGAGTTGGGGTTTCTTGTTTTGGTGGAAGGTTTAGGGATGTTTTTGGCTGAGGGCCTCACAAAGCTAAAGTTGGGGAGTTTCGTAAGAACGGCTCAGGGTTTGCATCTGAGTGGTTTGAAGGTTTAGGGACGAGGGTTGCGCCAGAGGTTCGGGCTTGGGTTTCAGACTAGGAATTCAAAGGTTCGCTTTCGTGCTTAGGATTTCGGAACCTTACGGAAAATTCGGCAACGACACTGGGGTCGTGCGTGCACGATTCTCTGAACCTCACGTTGTTCTAGGGTACCGGAGAGCTGGTGATGTTGAGGGTACCTTTGAAAAGTAAACTTGCCTGCACAGGGGAACATGCCAATACAAGTGTGATACTACAAGAGGATTATGATCAAAATAAGCATACTATTTACTGTTCTTCCGAAAACAGCAGCCGTGCTGAGATTAGAACAGCTGACAATAACAAGACTCCAAGTTCTCAGTGTTCAGCCGCAGCGCTCACTCGACGCTGGCCATTGCAAATGGACTCGGGCGAGATCTCGTGGGTCCACTGATGCCTCTTCAGCATGCGCGCTCGTGACGTCGGGTTTGCAATTCAGCGTCTCGGTCGGGTAAACGCGTCGAGGATTCAGAACCTTACAGCCTGATCTGAGAAGACATATATCTCTGTTTACGCACATACACACATACAGACAGCATGTGCACATTCTGCAAGCCATGGAAACCAGCCGGGGTCAACAGGCAGCCGAGCAAGGCAGTCAAGCATGCACAGCATGCCGGCAGACATATGCAGATTGATACACTGATGGATGCATACGTACTTACGTACATACTGAGGTCTGTACAGACACGAGTGCGCACACACACACACATACAAACATCATACACTCATTCAGGCATACATACATACATACATACATACATGCATGCATGCATGCACACCTACGCGCATGCATGCGACGCATGTGGGTGTATGCACTGCTACCTTTATGTTTGCGTACAAACATGTATCGTGCGCGTGTGGATATTTGCTACATGCATTGGCACGGCATGGATCGATGCATGCATGCAGGTGTGCATGGTGACACCTATGCATTTGTGTGCATGCATCTAATCTGTTCTCCGAGCACAACCCCAGTGAGACTCCTGTCTGGCCCGTGCCCTCTTCAAGAGCACAAGACCTCATCACCTCAAGAGCCACCGTTGCAAAGCCCGAAACAGAAAAGAATTTTGGGACCGTGGGCGAATTGTGCGGACACCTTTACAACATCAGCAGCACGTCTTCAGCTGGATATTGTCGTCCGGAAACCTGCCTGCACAAAGAGTTCGTCATCAGTTGGGGCCGAAGCTGGTCCGAATCCTCCAACAAAAAATCCCCGAAACAGAAATCAGTCAACGCTGCCCCCGATCCCTCAAAAACACAGAAGCAAACCTTGAAGCCGAAGGCCTCGCGGCTCCGGACAGGCAGTAAACCTGAGCTCACAATTCAATTGTCGATGTCGATGTTGCTTTCTGCTCTTGGTATTTCGTTCTCGTGTTCTTGCTGCTGCGGCATCATCTTCATTTCTGCATGGTTGGGTTCATATTTTGTGCACCTTTCCTGCATCTGAGCGAATTCGGGGTCCTGTTCCAAGTGGCCGGCGGGCCGATTTTGCATGTTGGGCTGTAACTCTGCATGTAGTGGAACACATCCACCGACATACACACACACACACACGCACACGCACGCCAACCATCTTCCTAAACCAGACACTCAGCTCGCAGATGCTCCGCTTCAGTCACGAAGCACTAAAGTATGGCCGTGGTCGCGCAGGTAGTGCTGATGTGGCCAGCAGCAGAGGTAGCAGTCGGAGCAGTTGCGGCGCATGAGCAGTAGCAGTAGCAGAAGCGGCATGTACTTGCGGAGCTGGGGGATGCTCATAGACGTGCGGGTGTTCATAAGTGTAATGCACCAAGCTGTGGCAGTGGCAGCCGACAGCAACTACTGCTTGCTGCTGCTGCTACCAGTACTACTGATACTACTTCTACGTCTACTTCTACTTGTACCACTGCGACTGCGAATGAGACTACGACCTACCACCACCGCAACCACCACGACGACGACGACGACGACTACTACTACTGCTACTGCTACTGCTACTGCTACTGCTACCGCTACCGCTACTGCTACTATCTGCTACTGCTACTACTGCTACTACTGCTGCTGGTACTGCTAATAGTGAAGAAGACAAGACATTACCTACTAGAAAACAAGACTACTCAGTGGTGACTACTCACTACCATCACCACCACTGCCACCATTACGACAACAACGACTAAGGCTACGGCGACGACGACTACTGCCACCACCACCGCTTGCACCACTCCCATTGCCACTACATGCCCATGACCACGACCACGATCACGACGACGACGACGACAACTGCAGTTGCTAGCATTCGGAGCAGCAGCGCAAGCTGTAGCAGCATTTTGCACCAAAACAATACGAGCGAGTGTAGAAACAGTAGCAGAGGCAATTGCGTGCACACTCGCAATAGTACAGCAGCAATGCTGGTACTGATGATGATGATGATGACGATGATGATGATGATGATGATGGGAGCGATGGTGATGGTAATGGTAAGGGCAACGGTGATGGTGATGACGATGATGATGATTATGATGATGATGATGATATGGTGCTGGTACTGGTGATGTTGCTAATGAAGATGATGATGATGATGATGATGGTGCTGATGATGATGGTGATGATGATGATGAAGATGATGAAGATGATGATGATGACGATGATGACGATGACGATGATGATGAGGATGCTGACGATGATGATGATGTTGGGTGATATTGCAGAAGACGACGATGACGATGCCAACGGTGCAGGTGTGCTGATAATGACTAGGCAGGCGATAATGATGACAACCCGCATGACCACAATGACCACAATACCGCATAATCGTCAACACTGCTGGGGGCTGGAGTTTTGGCATGGGGTTGATGGTTTACGGGTCAGCGGGTGTCCCCCTTTTGCAAAATCAGTGTACAAGGCACAGGGCGTTCAGGGTGCAAGGCCACTGTAGAGCTTCACCACAAAAAACTAAACAAAGAACTCGAAGCTCAAAGCACTCGAAGCTGAAAGCACTTAAATTGTTCAAGCGACATCCCCGGCACGAACAGGAACATCCACGACCCGCCCATCGAAGTCGTTGTCCGTAAGGGCGCACTCTCTACCTTCAAAGGTCAGGGGCTCTTGCTTTGTGCTTGTGCTCATGCAGGCATACTACATGTGTGCTTGCTTGCTATTTTCATTGTGTGTACACATGCATACAAACACATGGAACCGGTGTGTATGTAGGCTTGCATACACACACACATAATAAACATGTTCACTCACTTACTCACTTACTTACTTACTTACTTACTTGCTTGCTTGCTTACTAACTTACTTACTTGCGTGCGTGCGTGCGTGCGTGCGTGCGTGCGTGCGTGCGTGCGTGCGTTCGTGCATACATACATACATACATACGAACGTACGTACGTACATACATACATACATACACACAGAATACACAAACACCGTACATACATACACACATGCAGGCATGCATGCATGCATGCATGCATACATACATACATAAACGCATACATACATACATAAAACACATACATACAAATACATACATACATACATCCATCTATCCATCCATCCATGCATGCATGCATAAAGCGTCTAAGAACTTCAATCTTATTGCCAAACCGAATCGAACCGAACCAATCCAAGCCAAGCCAAGCAAGCTAAGTTTTGAGTCAGAGCTCGTCTAACACTCTAACAGGAGACCCTGACTAAGACAAGACCCTAGCTAGCAAAAGCTCCTGTGGAGTAAATGGGTCCCACGTAACGACAGACCTCTGACAACAGAAGCCCTAAACCATCGGCAATAGAATCTGTAACATAATCTTTGGCTTACTAGACTATACTACACCCAAAACAAACAAACATACATACATACATACGTAGACAGACAGGCCGACAGAGACACAGATCAAGAAACCAGGCGAAAATTGAACAGACGTTCGAAACGACCAAGGCTAAACCCCAGACTCCAGAACCCACTTCTACTACTTCAGATGCCTGCTCGAACGGGAAGTGCCCACTCTGCAATCCGCCTGAAGCAGGGTGGGAGCGCGATCAAGAACTAGCAAAAGACCCAAAATCATCCCAGAGCTTCTCAAACCCCAATCATCCCGTATAAAGGGACCTTCATGCCCTATAGCTCCGAAAGAGTGAGATCCTGATTCAAGAAGCTTTTTTCATGACCCCTACACCACTGACCGCCAACCTAAGCCACCAGACTTTCACACTTACCTCAGCGTAAGTGAAGCTACAGCTCCGCCATGTTGACCCACTTGAACCCACAACCGGGATCTAATGATTCAGGTGTGGATGCATGTACATTTCCGTGCGCTCAGAGGTGTTCGCAGAGTAGCTTTAGATCTAAGGAAAACAGTTCCGGGCGCAGGTGTGGTCTACATGGGAACGCAGCCGGTGCTTGCTCGCTAGCAGCAAGCTAGCAGCTAGCTAGCTTCCTAGGAACGCAGGCACTAGACATAGTTCATCAAAAAAAGCCTTGTCTAAATTCTCTCGAATCAATAATACGTAACCACAGCAATAGCGAAGGTTATATTTCAACAACATTGCCCCCTTTTCAAAAATCAAAATCGCCTAACACTGATCAAGAGATAAATGCTGATAGCAACGACAGAGAGAACAATCGATTCTCCGGGCCACCTGAGAGTGAGCGTCGCATCGGCACCGAGGCAAACCCCCAGCACGTGGTCCCCGAACTTCAGGAGGTCCACATGCCGCCGGATACCCTGCGCTGCTTTCCGCTCGTGGACATCGATAATTGCTTGGAGTCCCCGTTCAACAACGCGGTTTCAGAGAAAAAGAAATAAAGAGAGAGAGAGAGAGAGAGAAAAGGAGAGAAGGAAAGAGCGAGAGAAAGAGAGAGAAAGAGAGAGCGAGAGAGAGTGCGAGAGAGCGCGAGAGAGCATGAGGGAGCATGAGGGCGCGAGATAGCGCGAGAGAGCGCGATAGATCCAGAAAGAGCGAGAGAGAGCGAGAGAGAGCGAGAGCGTGTTGTTTGTCCGTGTGTGTGTATATATGTTTATGTATGTATGTATGTATGTATGTATGTATGTATGTATGGTGCATATATATATACACACACACACACATCTATATACATATAT